CCTAACCCTAACCCTAACCCTAACCCTAACCCTAACCCTAAACCCTAACCCTAACCCTAAACCCTAACCCTAAACCCTAAACCCTAAACCCATGTCGTGCAGCACTGCTGCATGTCTTGCATGCAACATTGGGGCTGTTTTTGTACTGCATGCCTAACCCTAACCCTAACCCTAACCCTAACCCTTAACCCTAACCCTTAACCCTAACCCTTAACCCTAACCCTAACCCTACCCTAACCCTAAACCTTAAACCCCGAAGCATAATACTGCGGTAATTAGCAGGTATGGTCTGTTCGGAAAAGATGCTACGTGCGCTAGATTGTCGGCGTAGCCTCGGTGGCACGCTGGGCAGCATGCTTGACATCAGTGTGGGGCGTCCCTTGAAGTTAACGGGCGGATTGGCGCGATTTATCCAGTCTGTCAGGCAGGATCAGGCCTGATGTGACAAGCTCTCGTATCCAATGGGCACCTGTTCAGAATTCTAAAGTCGCCGAGGCTCTACGCATACTTACTCACTGTGTCAACCGGTTAGCACCCCAGGAACAAAGACCCTCGAAATTGCATTCGGCGCACTACGAATGCTGGAGCTCAGGAGCGTTTCCTCGTGTTTAAAATTTGATGCTGCATACAACAGCTCAGACATCTTCACTGACCAAGCAAAACGGGTGAATCACATAGAAGCGACTCTGAACGCCTCTACCCTCAGTTCACGTGAAGCAGCAGAAATGTTTCACCAATCGTCGCTCTGTGTCTCTAGATAATGGTGACAGCAGACAATTGTAACGGAATCTAGTACCAGAAATTATTGGGCACACAAACTAAACAAACCAGTTTACTAGAGGAGGAGACTGTGATTGATCGGGCGCACTTCTATGTGCTGCTGGTATTCGCATGTAGCAAAACCGTTGTTCCGTATACAATCAGTCCCGAAGCCATACACCAGACAGCAGACGCATGCATCCAACCACGTGGCACAGTTCCTTAGAACACACAACATAAAGTTCCAGCAGAACAGAGCCACACGGAGTTGTCAACGAGACAACAAGCTCCTGTATAATCGTGCTTGCATGCGTCGTGTTGGTTGGCGTCATTTCGCTTCCTGGAGAATTGTAGCTCAACCGTAGGTCGGTTACCTTGGACAGCCTCTGAGCACATTTGACGCATACAACAGCTCAGAAAAATTGGAGGCAGCATATGACCATGCTAATTATCGCTTGTATGTTGCCAATGAGCAAAGAGGCATGTTGCCAAACCCTAACCCTTTCGACCTCATCACAGTTGTCATCGCTTCAGTGCATTCTCAAAACCCGGGGGGCGTCAAACCCGCAACTGCATGTCTGCAATGACAGCGGCAATACAACGGAAGCTGTTACGTGATGCATGAATAGAACGGTCCAACCGACTTCTTTATTCATTACCGCGAATCTAGCGCCGACTTGTAGGCAGCTATAATTTCAAGTGCCCAACGGCTTGCCCCGACGCGCAGGCATGGCTCGAACGAATCCTTGCACGAATCCAGGACAGGCGTTTCATCTTTTCACGACCCATCACATTTTCCAGTATCGGGAACCACTAAGCACATTATGCAATATGCAAAATCACCGGTACAAGGTTTATAAGCATCAAGGCGATCGGCTCTAGATATACACATATAGACACACAGTCAATTTACTCTAGGCCTACCTGTAGCTAACTTCAGCTTCGATCTGGCCCATTAGAAGAAATCCTTCAATGATCATTCAACACCAGGACAACCAACCACTATTGGGCACACAGCTCCACACTTCGAACGGTAGTTTTGCGTGGACGAGTAATGGTATCGTGCTTTTCTCTAAGTAGTATTCAATTCCACAAATGCGATGTTATGTAGGAGTCCGGGTGCCCCCCATGTAGAACGCGATGTGGATTCTACAACTACTGCTAGCTCGTGGCACCACCAACCGTGCGACTGTGACGCCACACACGCCAGTTACACTGGTGAGGCCATCAACCTAAGAAGGCCTATCGCATCGTTCCAACGACAGGCGCCCTCAAAAGATGCCTCACAGACCTCCAGACCTATTGCGCAGACACGACAAACAGGCAGCAGACTATTATCCTTTTCAATTCATATACTATGTTGCACACGTGGCTTAACGCCACAGGGCCTCCAACTGCTCTGTAATAAGCTGGTCAACCTCTTATAAAGAAACCACTTCCTGGACATACAGGAACTGGGCTGTTCCTCGCCACGCATACAACAGCAATCATCAGCTCACTCTGTGAGCCACAGTCCAGACGTTCCGGATACGCCACCAGACTGTCTACAAGTACTGCATTCGCCAGGAAGTCTCCGGAGAGGCCATATGTCAATCAGCGACCACAATCCTGTCCGTGCTTACACCGGTCCTCCACATTATAAACATAGCCACCCCCCTATTATAGAATTGTGCGAACTGCTACTTATGCCGCAGCTGTAAAGCACAGCCTGTCTGCAACTCCAGGGACAGCTACACAGCAGCTCGTTGCCTACTCATGACTCCGTGGATAAATGAAGGGTGCCACCAAAAGAACGTACCCACTGGTGACCAGTACATCTGCTTCACGTTGCAAGCATGCAGCGGTCAGTAGCACGTGCTCGACTCGTATGCAAGCTATATTGGGGCTTTTGTGTAGACCCGTGTAGCAGTACTTATTTAGCAGTACTTATTTCTGGAACAACCGTAGATGCTTAGTGCATGGATACAACGACGGATGCCCTCAAAAGATGCGGCACATATCACAAACCCTATTTTACACACCGAAGAGACACGCAACCAACCCTGAGGATCTCTAAACAGGAGCTCGTTGTCTACTGATGACTCCGTTGAAAACTGCAGGGTGCCACGAAACAAACGTACGCCCTGCTCAGGCGTAGTTCCCTGCCTCGCATTGCAGGCATTCAGAAGTCAATAGCTCCAACGCGAGCAGTATGAATGTTACACCGCGGCTGGTGGGGCAGGCCAACTCAAAAGCGCTACTTTTCAGAACAACTGTAGATGCTTA